GGCAAAAGCGCCTGCCTGGCAAGCACAAGGTCGTGAGTTTGGTTCCCGGTACCGGAGAAAAACCAAAAAAAAAAAAAAAAAAAAAAATTTAAAATTAAGTTAAGGAGACAATCTTTGTTAATCTCTTTTTTCATGGGAAGAACAGATACTCTTTTCTTTGAAGTTGTCTTTTATTTATTCAGTATCAGTTAACTTATCTATTGCAACCTGGTAGAAGAGGTTATCTGCTTGATGTTGCAAGCAACCAGGCATTGATGAGGGAGAATTTCTATGAAAATGAACAGAACAAAAAACATTAGTAGATGGAACAGACTATAAACTCAGTTTCTAAGTTCAAAGGCAAGCCAGTTGACATTTCTACCTATTGAGCACTAAGTATTTTTTACAGTTTAAGTGTCCTTGGTGATGGTATCCTGTGTTCTCATGAATTGTCTGAATGGCTCAAATAGCAGTAGTCATAAAGGTTGCTCCAAATATAAAAGGTACAGTGATATATACAAAATTGTGTCACTTCAGCTCCCAAGGATACAAGGGTTAAAGGAAAGGTCTTAGTTCTCAATAATACCAATTCAGGAAGGTAGGCAAAGAAAACCGAAAATATTAGCTGAAGAATTATACCCAGCTACTGGAAGAAGATACAAGAACTGACAAAGCTCCCTCATACACCATTGCAGAAGCCACACTGAGCCCCAGGGAACTTCAGGAGCCTTTTACCATGCCCTGCATCCACACCAATGTGGGAGTGATGCTGAGCCATGGGGAAACTCAGAACCTTTGGTGAGCTGTCCAGGAGGGAACAGACTGCACTCTGCCCTGCCCCCACCATCCTGGGAGCAAAACTGAGTCCCTGGGAAACCTGGAGGCTCCAGAGAGCTGCCTGAGAGGGAAGCAACTCTGCACCCCACTGCCCCATCATTGTGGGAGTTATGCTGAGCCCCAGGAAACCCCAGAATCTTCAAAAATGACAAAACAAAGCAGCAAAATGCAACCTCAGGCCTCCACCACACACAGAACAAGTCCAAGAGATATCGACATAAAAGAGCTTGGAAGTTATACTGAAATTTCTGAAATGATAGCAACTGAAGTAGAGATACAATTCCATCAGGCTATACAAGAAATCAGATCTGAAATGATCTGGCAGGTAAAAGAGATATAACAGTAATGAAAGAATTGCTCAGCACATCTAAAGAAGACATAGAAAATATATAGAGGAGCATAGAAAAATGAGGGAAACCTTGAATGAGCAATATAGGAAAGAATTACAACACATGAAACATATTTAAAGAGATATTCAAAAAATTAAAAATTCCACTGAAAGTTGGCAAAACTGCTTGAATTAAACTGATAGACTTTCAGACCTTGAAGACAGGATTGTAGCTAATGATCGCAAAAAGAAAGATTTCTTAAAGATAACAAGGAACCAGGGAATAACAATTCAACACCTACAAGATGATGAAAAGAAAAACAGTATAAGACTGACAGGAGCAGGCATCAACACAAATGACATTAAATGACCATTTGCAGAAGTAATAGCAGAAAATTTCCCAAGCA